CTGGCTCGAAATCAGATCCCTTGCATACACCTGGGTTTGGAATAATATCACTCGTTGGCAACATGAAGCTACCAAGGTGTTTGTCGATATCGCTAAAGCGCTCGAGAAACTTGGAATCCAACCAACCAGCAACCCATCCCTTCCAGCGACAGACGGAGAAGATCCCCTCGAACGATTCAGAGCAACTCCCTTCCCTCTATCATCCCCTCAGGCTCTGGCTGAGCTCGTCAAGATTGTCGACTTACCTCGTCTCATCCTTGAAATGAAATCCTACCGAGCCTGGATCTATAATCACGAGAGAATTCATGGTAAAAGTCCTAGAATCTTTAGTCACAATGATACCCAGTCAGCCCAGTTCCCTCCCCACTTTCATCTTTCTTTTTCGAGAACGCATTAGATTGCGTTCTTGCCCTCATTGAAGTCTCAGTTTTTAATTGGAACTTACCTTTTTTTAGGTGTGGGAATCTGTTGCTACGTCAAGACGACGATCCTCTGTTGAGGGAACAACCTCAAGACCAGATCATGGTCATAGATGTGAGTGGTCGCTCGTAGCTTTTAAATGATTTTTTTTTTTCACTTTTTTTAACCCCCAATGCTCATTTTGACCACGTACATTGGCCCGAAATCCTTGAAATTGCACAGTTTGAATATGCCTCGGCAAATCCGCGGGGTTTTGATATAGGTAAGTTAGCAGTACAGAGCCACATGTTTTTGCACTTTCTTTCTCACGCGGTAAAATAATTTGGACATCATTTCTTGTTCTTCTTCAGCAAATCATTTTCATGAGTGGTGTGCAGATTACCATCACCCCACGCACTCCTATTCCCTTACAAGACATGGGAATTATCCCACGTATCTTGAACGAAAGAGGTTCTATCGAGCATACCTTGGAATCGATTGTGAATACAGTAAAACCAATTCAGCGATTGAGAAAGAACAGAGCGATCCGAAGGCCAACTCGTACATCAAAAGATTCAAAGACTGTGAAATCAGCGACTTCAATTTGGACGAGCCGAGCGATTTAGCCACCCCAAAGGATACTAATCGTGTGCCCGGGACGAACGCTGGACAAGGAGTAGTAGCCGAGAAAGAGGATGGGGAGGAAGACGGGCGAGTGATGAGTTTGGAGCAAGACGTCAACCTTTGGAGTCCAGCCTCGCATGCAATGTGGGCTCTCTGGGGTCTAGTCCAGGCTAGAGACGACTTGAAAGTCCAGCTCGATCGTTGGCTCACCGCTCCTACTCCCTCCCTCTCTAGCAACTCTATGGACGAATTCGAGTTCGACTATTTTTCCTACTCGGCTGAACGAATCATCCTTTTTCGTAGATTACTCGCCGAACTAAACGTCCCTCTCGTTTTGTGATCTCCATCTCTCTCTCTCTTCATTGGTCCCTTCCCCCCCCCCCCCCCTTATCAACGAGATTATTATTATTTTTCCCTTTCGTTGTATTTGTTTGACTAAACGCGTCCCGAGAAATCCTTATGACTTTCCTTGAAATTCTCTAATTTATTTGACCTTCTTTTCGATTGCATTGATGCGAATTCTCCCTTTAATTTACGTTTCTTCGGTTGCTTCATCTATTTGATATATGGTTAGCATCTCTAGCCTACAGGTCCTACGACACCCTAATCCTCTGATATGATCTTACGATGATCGATTGGATCACGTTCTCTTGATGCTTTTTTCCCCTTTTGTTTTTTTCTATCATTTGTCAATCCCGCTCGTCGGTTGGAACACCGTTTTGTGATGAATTGTAAATATGTTGTTGTTGTTGTGATGTATATGACTGTACATAGGAAGGGTTGAAAGCCGAGGAAAACACGTACAACTCTTTCGTAGTCTTTCTTTTTCCCCTTCATCTCTTTTGAACCTTGAGATACAACATAATAGTTATGCTAAATGGTGACAATGACATCGTCGAAATGGTTCATCTGATTTATTCCGACAATCAGTTGAACTGGTATCCCTCCTTCGCTCCACTCCTCTTCCTTTCTTTCCTGTTTCTCTTTTTTTTAATTGTCTCCTCTGCTTCAGAAATCTAAATCCATTTGAAACAGTTATGTAGGACGTGACCAGACCAGAAATATTAGGTCTTGTACTATGTACTCGGCTGCGTGCGTGTGTCTTCATCTAGCCGGCCGATCAACCGGTCAGCTTATCTTCCAGCTCAAGAGCGACTTGGGCATCCATGAATTTGATTACCTATCTGTCTGAGATAGATTGAGTACTCGATACTGCAACGAAAACGCGGACGGCACCCACAATCTGACAAAACCAAGAGGCATCAAAAGTACAAAAAAGGAGAAGCATATCCGGAGTGCGAAAAAAACGCCAGCTCATGACCCATGCCACCGAGCCGAATCACCTCCCGCCTTCGTAGACCGTAACTTCCAAACTACATTCCTTTGTCCCCATGCAAACGGCACTTTGCTAAAAGGAGTGGGACAAAACCAGACAACTCGATGTCGTCCTCCCGTGCGCTGCGACCACCCCAGGACTCGAACCTGGAATCTTCTGCTATTCCAGTGTAATCCGGAACATTGAACCCGGTGGATATCCATCGTAGGCAGACGCGTTGACCATTGCGCTAGGCAGCCGACACTACGGACAATTAGCTGTCGCTGCGGCCCGCAGCGTCACCCAGACGTTTCAAGTCAAACTGAATCCTCATGCTACGTCAGCAGCAGCGACAACTCAATCTATGAAACAACAGATCACACTGCACACGCCAGCTAAGGGGCAATAAAGCAGCTTCGGCGATTTCCTCCTCAACAAACGTATGCTTGACCCCTTCGTCTAGCTTCTCTTGCGATAACATCCATGACAATGATCAAAGTTGCTTAGGTCAAAGAGGTATGACAAATTGTTCGGGCTGCTTGGCTGGTGGATCGTTCTTGTTACTGCAAAGATGGAAGTTGAACTTTGGGCGAAGAAGTGAGGCGGCGCTGGATTCATGCCCGAATGTTAACCTCCAAGCTGGATTCAAGGTTCCACTAAGAGCTGAGACGGGAAATCGGGCAACAGCTCGATGAACAAGAGTAGGGAAGCTGACACCAATTTCCATCTCTCCACAACCGTTGATCAGTCGCTGGTTGGGTTTTCAATGCCTACCACTCTCGCCTCCTGTGGATGATCCTCTCTCCCTCTTACGGGTGGGCGAATCTGGAAACAAAAAGTTAGAGCTAAGTTTATAATCTCAAGGCAAATCCTCATTGCCCCATTGAGGAGTAATGAAAATCTGATTTGCATTTGCAACACTCAGACCTTCCAAGCTTCCCTCTAGGGATGTGCTTGCTTGCCGGCGTATGAAACTCGCTAGCAATGTCTTCTTCCCTGCCAGTGAATAATACTTGCCGGCAATGTTCTGCAAGCTGACTCGATGTGATTAGGTCTACCTTATACCTGCTAGCTGCCAGCTGGGGAGTAAGTTGACAGCTCCTTGTTGGGGAGGAATGGACAAATCCTCCCCAGGACTTGAGTTATACCTTGCACCTTCCCGACAAATAGCCTGATGTGCAAGCCAGGCTTGATAAGCGCTAACAGCCAGATCCAGATCGCAAACAAGTTAGGCACTTGACTGACGATCTGGGAGGATAGGTACTCTGCACAATGGATAACGGGATGAGCTCCCAGCTCATGTGTAACAGTTACGTGACGATTGTCACTTTCATTATGCGTTTGGGGGGCTTTTTGTTTCTACATTCGGCCACACCCCTCTTACGATTCATGACAAACTTGTTACATACACACCCTCCACACTTATTACTGTTCATAGCAATCCCCCGGACCCCCAAGAAGAACTAGATGCTTTCCTACCCATCCCCACTCATCCAAATCAGATTCAGATCCCTACAACTTGGAACCGTTTCAAGGTCACTCACCTCAAAACTGATCCCAGTCAAAGATATCACTGTAATCTATACACACAAATACACATGTATATATAACTTGCCATGTCTAAGCACTTTACCTTTGTCTCAAGAGGGCTTCCATGCAATTTACCCACTCTCCTTTTGGAAGCTTGCTATCTATCATAGTATATGGAAAGCACTTCCAAATACCGATGCAGATTTTCAGTCAACCTGTAAGCATTGAGCAGACCAGTATCCTGGTTCCAGCGCAGCGACCGCCTGCTATAGGAATCAGGTCCTGCAGCTTCTTGATACGCCCACCCATGGGTGGTTTTGGGATGACGGGTTATCGATGGGTCAAATGTATGCTCTGGGGAGGTTTTTAACGGCAATTGGTTCCACCACCTTCTAGACCACTGCATCCAAAGAGATTTGATGAAGTCAAATAGACCATAATGAGATTTGTTGGAGTTTTGTGATCCATTGTTTATAAGTGGCTGGTATGAAGGGTGACTAGCTGAGCCTGAGGTGCATAGTCTATTTCCTAATTTGCTTGATTGCTGGGTTGGGAGGGAGACTTGGAGCTCAGAAGAGAGGGGTGACTTTTCTTTTAACCGCAACCTACTACATACTCTTTCTGGATACCACCATGCTGGCTTTTCCCATCATAGCTCCTCAGACTCAGATATGCTCACTCCGATCCCACTTGATCACCCAAACACCAAAACTCACCAGAAGCTCGATCACCAACATCCCAAGAGTATCTAGACAGCCAGTCTGGTCAGACTCAAACTGCAATCGATTTCTTCAGAGTAATAAGCTCAAATTCCGAAATGACTTGAAGAGTTACCCAACAACTCAACCCTTGATCCCAAGACAATCATTCTCAAGGACCAAGACCTCAGTCTCGATACTCCTAGAAATCACCGCATATCCACAAAACCTGTGATCCAACTCAATGCGGCGCTGCCTCCCCAAACGTTTGATCCTCAACCGCAACAGCCAGTCGAGCTTGAGCCAGCAGAATTTACAAGTCTCTTAAGTGTCCGCAAACTCTCCTTCGGTACTCTTACCGGCACCTGTGCTGGCGTGTTCATTAAGAACGGTCTCAATTTCTTGACTTTCTTGTTCGGTGGTGGATTTGTTCTGCTTCAAGTACATCTTTCTTCTTTTGATATCGGTTTTCAATTCTCGATAATTAAAACTGAATGACTGTTTTCTTGAACTCTTGCGTGATTTATGTTGTTCACAAATCCTACAATTACTCACGAGAAAAAAAAGAAAAAAAAACGTTGACAGTTTTTACATTCAAGTTCATTGATCAAGATCAATTGGAAGATGTGGGCCAAGCAATACGAGTACAAGTTCTGGTCGGCCAAGGAGCCACCAACCAAGTCGATTGTCACCAGGTTTCTGGACTTCTTGACGAGCGATATCCAGTATCAAAGTACTTTCACTGTCGGGTTCTTCCTTAGACTCAGGATCGGTGGAATATCCTACACACTTGACTTCAAAATCCAAAGTATGCATGGGATAGATTACTCTCTGAGAAACGGAAATTCTATTGAATCAACCATCAAATTAATTGTAGATTTTTTACAAATTATTTGAATAGACTGATGAATGACCATAAGCTGCATGGCACATACCTCAGATCATAATGCCAATGAGGGCCGTTAGCAGAGAATCTCATGGGGGAGTTATCGGAGGGCGAGTTGGTGATAGAGATGGCGGAGGAAGGGCTGAGGATGGAGCTGGAGGAGGGTGAGCCGGCGGAGGGTCTTCGGTTCGGCGGCTCTGTCGATGATCATAGAGGGGTTGCTGTCGTTGCGAGGAGGCTAGTGTCGTTGCATGATCAACTTCAATTTGGTCGCGCGACATCTGAATCTGGTGGGAAACGTCAGGTGACGCTGCGGGGCGCAGCGACAGCTAATTGTCCGTAGTGCGATGGAGCGAACAATAAGAGAAGTTCTTCGGCTGGACTAGCCGAGTGACGAAAGGGCCGACGCGTTCTCTCCAAGAATTTTACCGGGGACGGTTGCTCCGGGTCGGCGGTTTACGACTGTTGGGGTTCGTCTAAAATCTTGGTGAGGATGGATAAGGGAAGATGCCCAAATCAACCCGTGGGGGTGACCATGTCGTAAATCTGTGTAAAGGAACTACAATAAATAGCTCCCGTGGCGCAACGGCTCAAGCATATTGATCCACTCGTTGAGCAGTCATTCAGATGGGAGTCACGGAGAAACTCTAACGCGTTTGTCCACTACTTAGCAGATGCTCTGCTGCCAAGCACGTTCTCAAACAGCTCATTGCCGCTCCGTTGGAGAAGTCCAAATCCTCGCATGTCTAGATACACTGGCATGACTTCATCAGGGTAAGGTAATTTGATTCCCTGTTCTTTCTTGCTTGAAAGTTACGGGAGGAGGCTTGGTTGATCTTGAGATCTGGATGTGATTCAGAAATACATGAATTTGATTGATTGATGATCGAGTGGAAAACAACATACGCTTGATTAACGAGTAAATGCTTTGTTTTTCAATTCTTGCTGATTGGAGTTATGATTTATAGTTTATATCCAACAATGCGCTGAAAATGAAATAGATAGAGAAAGGTCTGCATTTTTTTTGGCTACATTTGACAAAGGTTTTGAGACTGAAATTGGACAAGTTCGAGAGGTGATTTGAGCAGTTAAACGCATGCAGCTAAGAGAGAAGTTGTTATGCTACTCATGAGCGATCAGATGCAAAAATCTAAAGTAATGCCGGAGTTCGGGTTGCCCGACTCTTGGATTTGGTAGAGTTCGTCGTTTCCGTCAGTGTGGAAAGCGTCGGGGCAATCAGCCGAGGTGCAAGACTTAGAAAGCCCGTTGGTGAGGGTGATGCGCAATGACTTGTTGTCTATCAATCGTGGTCGATTCATGAGTTAGACGACGGAATTCTTGTGAATCAAGCACAATTGAAGTTGGTACGCACATTGGTGGGGAGGTATCAAAGTGATGTCGGCAGAGGTGACGGCGGAGACCAGCGAAAACTCGGCCGCAGTGCATGGCACTCCGTTCTCCTCGCAATTGTTCCCGACGGCAGCAATGACTCTGTGAAGTTGCCCAATCGATTACATAGACTGGCCGTCAGACTAGGGAAACCTTGCTTTTAAGACTTCCGAAAAGCTTACCCGTTGGTGTCCCCATCGTATGTCCAGGTGCCACCACCACCAGAAGTCACGACTCCACGTCCAGGGACTTGCATGATGAATCTTTCACCACAGTTGTTGTTCACCTGGATGGTGTGTGCGGACACTGCGCCGAATACACTTCCAGCAACAATCAACAAGCTTGAGACTAACATGATGAAGCGGACGCTTTTTTTATTGAGGGCTTATGACAGAGGCCGGGGCAATAGTAATGTTATATGTGTGTCGCAGGGCAGATGAGTATTAAGGATTGATGATTGGCATTCGGACACAACAAAGACAGTCTTTATATAGCTTTCGAGGCAACTGCTTCCGGGTTTCTCGTGTGTCATGACCATTGCTGGGCTGCAACTCCCAGAGCATGCTTCTGAGTTACAGCGTCCGATCAGCATCATTAAGCTCTCCTGGTATTTCCCTGTCTAAGCCTTAAGGGAACCTTGCTGCTCTCCGCCAGCAATGTTTTATTTAATTATGTAAGTACACAGGGCGTGCCTCGCCGAAAGGATCTGCCCCAGGGCCACAGCCTTGTAAGTTCTGCTTTCGAAGATCTTAGGGACGGGAAGTCGTTGTCTATTTTTTGGGGGCAAGCGGCTGCCATGAATGAATTCACAGCGGATTGCTTCAAGCTGCACGGTGACACCAAGCACAGTCCCGCACCGGCATGAACCCAAAGCCGGCGGAATGTAATTCCGCCCAGACAGAATGGCGATCGCTGGGCCTCCTATGTATAGAGCCTGAGACTTGGATCAGCATTCGCCCAACCCTTTCGTCGCGCCCAAGAACTCTGAAAGGCCTCTCGATTTAATCGCTCACCCTGCCACTGGTAGGAAGTCCTTGAATCTTTCCCTCAAAAGGAGACTCGCTCGAACAATTTAAGCTGCACTGCAAACTGCATCGCCACTTAAGCTAGGATCTGCTTCTGCGAGCCACACGCAGTCGCGCCAAGGCATGTTATTCATTCTTTTTTTGAGACAGATTACCAACCGATTTCTATGTTTCTACTCCGGGCGCGTGGTCATGGGTCTGGATAACCGGTGTCTCTGAGGCCTCCTAATAGTAATAACGAGCCTATGATCGGAGAGCAAAATATAATGACAAAACCAAATTTAAACGCACAAGCATACGTACCTCTCAGTCCCACAGCTTCACACATCAAGCATTTCAATTTTCATCTCGCCCGGATCCTATGGTCCCGCCGGAAATTCTTCTTTCCTATTCCAACCTTGCTTGCGCCCGGAGCTGCGGGAATCATAGGATCAATCAATTGCGCTGCCGAGAAAGAAAGATGGGACAATGAACAAACGCCCCGAGACATATAGACTTGACTGATGCTGTGTACACATGAAGCTTGCGCCTCACTCGCAGTCTGCTGCTGGGCCATTAGAACAGGCTTAAATAGGAGAGGGCTCCTTGCCTTGGAGGAGAACCAAAACATCCATTGCCACCTAGCCAGTAATACGAACAAAAAAAAAAGTAATTCCAATTTCCAATCCATCATCATGATTTTTATCTCATCTGAAGTGTCACGTCGATGATAAGAGGAATTTAACTAACAGAGCCTGCTTGCGACCTTTCCAGATCAATTGCCTCTTAAAAATGATGAAGTCGACATTGCTTCTACTCATTAGCTCGTCCATGTGCGGCGTGGCGTTCGGCTACACGCTGCACTTTCAAAACAACTGCCCCTTCACTGTCTGGCCTGCGGTTGGGAAAGCTCCGAATGGACAACCTGATCCATCCGTGGCTTATGGCGCCAAACTCGAGCCAGGGGGGTCGAGTCAATTTGGAGTGAACGACGGAGAGATAGGAAGTGAGTGATGTTTCTTGCAAAAGTTTGCTGACTCTTGGATTTTTATCTCTCTATCATCGAATTTCGGCGTTTCTGATAACAAGGTCCCCTACAATGATGCTTCCTTTCATAGTCCGCTCTTGGGGTCGCACTGGTTGCGATGGCAATGGTGCAAACTGTGCGACCGGAGTGAGTTTCTCCAGCTGAATGGCGATCGCTATCCGGGTGGGATAGGAACAATGTTTTGAGACTGATGTGGCACTTTTTGGATAGCGTGTAACGGTGGACTTCAATGCGCTGACGGAGGGATAACTTCTGGGAGATTTACTTGACGAATACGGATACAACAGTTTGGTAACGAGATCTCGTGGGACTCTCCCGAGTTGATGGCTCTATCAATAGTCAGTGTCCATGTTTTTTTAATGGACCAGTAACTTTTCTTGGGACATCTTCTGACTGACTGTTCATGGATGATTATATTAGTTGATACATCCATCAACAACGGAGGTAACGTCAAAACGTGCCGCCAGAGCAATTGTCCCTCCGATCAAGCTTTTGCCCAGCCCAATGACTTCCAAGCGGTCACCACCAGCCCCGTTGGATCTACTTTCGATATCACTTTCTGTCCATGATCGATTCCACGTAACAAAATTGCGATGGTGTCCATTTCATTCAGATGTCGTCAAGTCTTATTTCTTTATTGCGTTTGGTTTTTGGTTCATAGTTTATGATATATGTATTATTCATCCTGCCATATCAACGCGCAGTTGACGATGTTGGTTACACTTTACATACTTACAACTTGGTTTTCTATCGGTTTGAGAATACATAAGTGCAGATAAGATACATTTACAAAAATAAACCTTTTCAAGACCCAAACAAAAGCCTACACTGTGAAAAGATGGGCCCGTCGTTTCCTCTATTGACTGTTATTCACACCCAGTCATTTCAAAAATCAGGCTTGGAAATAAAAACATAGCATGTTTTAAAAGTTTGGGAACTGCTACAAACACTAGGCAAAATCAATAACTACAAGATTGTATTTGTACACTCATAGCTTAGTTGCAAACCGAGGGATTTGAACTTCATTGTGAAAATAATAGCTAGAAATTCCAAAACCTCCCAACTGCACCATTTGAAAAGAATAACTACTGGGTGTTATCACGTGCAAAACCAGTCAGTTGGAGAGAGAGAGAGAGAGGTGTTCAAATTATATACAGACTTTGTAATTTTATCAGCAGAATGGTGCAACAACTATGAGGGTTATGATGCTTGATGAGGATTGGCTATTTATTTCAATAAGTGGAAGAGTATATGCCCATCAGAAATCACCATTTTTTTTTCCGCTGGAGTATAACAACCTTAACGGTGCATATCAATCGGCTTCATATCGTACACCCATACTCTCTTTAACCTCCATCCCCATCCTCTTCATTCGGGAAGCCTCGACTCTCTCCCTACAAGAATAACAAAATCCGATCAGTTCAGCTGAAGAATATGTAAATTTCTATGAAATTCGACCTGAGGCTGACCGTTCAATTCGCCTAAGCTGCTCAAGCTGAGCCCGACCAATATACACTTCTCCGTCCGTCTTAGCTACCCGCTTGTGTTGGGCAGCCAGAGCGGCTTCATCAGCGCGAGGATCATAGGTATCACTCTGGGTAGTCACATTCCCAGAACGAATCGCATTCCTATTTGGACAGAAAAAGACCACTCAGCGGTTGTAAGATCGAGTGACCCAAATCAACAAAGAGAACTTACATCCTTGCTTCATACTTTTCCAGTGCATAGAACTTTTCATGTGGTAATGTAGCAGTATTAAAGTCCTCCATGTATACTCTGTAGAGCAAGTTAACATAGTCTCAATCATCAATTGGGTAACAAACACCTTGGCTTGGTTGAGAATGGATGTGCACTCACTTGAAGAGTTCCTTCATTTTAATCTGTGAAACCGTTTCAGGATTCAGCGTCTTTTCTTCTACCAGCCAAGCCCTACAAATTGATCCGACATCGATTTGGACTCGTTAGCAAACCGGACGTCTCATTTCATTTTTGTCTCTGCTTCAGATGGATGTGAATCAACTTACCTGAACTCTTGATCCTTGGTAAACATATCAGCCTCAGTGATGATTCCATACTTGCCATACTCACTGATAGCGGATTTGTGCTTTGAAGACTGTCCCTTCTTTTCTTTTTTCTGTTCACATAGAATGAAATCAAAATGTAAAAACAAAGAATATGTTAAATGATCTATCCAGGTAAATCTATTGCTTAGTTTGGTCATGGATCAATCAGTGAATAGACCAAAAGGGGCGAACCTTCTCCTTTTCTTTTTTCTCTCGTTTTTTCCTCTTGCGTTCTTTCTTTTCGGCACGGGCCTGTTTCTTACGAGCATGTTCATCTGAGCTGTCTTCACCTGGACTCCTGTGCCGGCTCTTATGAGATCGCTTGCTCTTAGACTTGCTAGAATGTTTGCGGGACTCGTGCTGATCCTCACTCGATATCGATGAATCCCGTTTGCTTTTTGACTTCTTGGAATGTTTCTTCTCCCTAGATCGTTCTTTTCCTGAAGAAGCGGATGATGATGATGATGATGAGGAGGAGGAGCTTGTAGATCGATGTCGACGTCTAGGTGGAGATCGGGAGGGCGAGCCGTGCCTTCCGGTGTATCGATCACGTTGATCGCGTTTGTCACTGTAGACAGTGTCCCGATCACGAGAGCTCCTTCTGCGATCCCTGTCAGCATGCCTTTCGCTCGGTCTTCGATCTCGGCTGCGGCTCCACCGGACTCCATCACGTTCACCTCCGCTTGGGCTCCGTCTGTCTCGTGGCCGACTTCTCCTTTCGTTACCAGGACTCCGGCTGCGTCCACGGTGGGTATGCGAGCGTGAAGGCCCTGAGTCTTCGTTTGCCATTGCGATCGGCTGGTAGTCGTATGTCTCGGGAGTATCGACTATCGTATCTATGATAAGAAGACCACAGATTCCAGTGGTACATACTCTTCTGGAGCAGGGGCGACACCACCGGACACCACGGGGGTCTCCGGGTGGTCTCTGTACACAGCCGACCAAAATCGTGCTACATACACAGTGATTGTGTGCGCGGGGCGCACTCGCCAGTCGCACTCGGTGGCTCTCAGTTTTGTCTTGGGTTTTGTCCAGGCTGTCTGCCCCTCACAGTCCTCCTCTCCAACCGGGAAACGCATACACAAACGTTCAGCTCTGAAACTCAATCACTCAACTCGTATTCGACATTCCAAGGCAGCAGATCCACAGGCGAATTTTTCGGTCCATTGGTTTGTCGGCATGGGGAAGTACTATTGTGACTACTGTGGTGGGTTGCCAATCATTGAACACTGGGTTTGAAGAACGTTACTAATCCAGGGCTTCTTCTCCTCCAGATGTCTTCCTCGTCAGTGAAAGGTTCGTTGCTTGATTCCTTGGGTCTATCTCAAATTGAAGAAACAAATGAAGCTGAATTGAATTGGGAAATTTCTCTAGTCCTTCCGTTCGCAAGGCTCACAACAGTGGTCGAAACCATCTGACGAATGTCAGGGACTATTATTCTTGTGAGTTTATTTGTCGACGCAGATTCCAATAAAGACATCCCTCCTAATCACTTCCCTACAAATTTGAAGCTCTGGGTCATGACAAGGCTCAAAGTTACATCGATGAAATCACACGGATGTTTGAAACGGGTGGTGGCAATTCAACCTCTAATCGTGGACCAGGTGGAAACCCTCCTGGCTCACAACCGGGGCCTCCTAATGCTGGCATGAGTGGTCCCAGTAAGATTTAGTCTCAATCTCCCAATTTAACGTCACTCCGAATCAAGCTCACGTGACCTTATACCGGACTTATTTGATTATCTATTAGTGCGACCCCCCTTCTCGAATTCGACTGCTGGCCCCAACATGCCACCACTTCCGCCTGCCATGTTGGCATTAATGAATGGCCAAAACGGCATGTCTTCCCCCGGTTCTGGTCCGCCCCCTATGCGCTTCGCAGGCCCGCCAATACCAAATAACATGCCTCCCGGAATGATGCAGCCTCCTCATGTGAATGGCTATTCATCTGGCCCACTTCCCCCGCAACCTCAACCAGCTTCTGGAGGACAGGGCGCACCACCATTGACAGCTAGAATGAACCCTGATCGTGCTCGTCAACTGGGTTGATTTAAGCTTCTAGAGAAGTATGGGCAAAACGCGCTACCTCTTTTTTGCACCCTGCTTACCTCCTTGTTCTATTTCAAATCACTCCACCGATTTCCCATTGTTGTTTCTTCTTAGTGAAAATTGCGTTCAGAAGTCCAAAAGTACATAATCAATCACATTGAAAAAGGAAGAAGTACTAAAAACTGAAAGTCAGAAGTAGCTCCCGTGGGAATCACCCCCAACCATTGTAACTCTAAGTATTAAAATTGCAAAGAACATAATATCATTGGGCTGTGTGCAAATCCAATGATGTCCCTGACAAATTCTGATCTGATTCATAGATAATTCTGCAGTCTTGAGAATTATGGAATTGTAGATTCCATGCTGAGTTTTCTCATTACAGACTTGACATTCAATTGTAAGAATTTATTATCATTTTTCGTCTATCCTGATAAAGCCCGGTGTGAATTGCCATCAAACATTATTACTTGAAACTCAAATTGTCTTTCTCATTTATCAGAAACAGCTACTGAGAGCATTCATAATAATTTATATAAGTGTACATCGAATTCATGATTGCGTGAGCCTACCCTTTGTTTTGGTATAAATCTTGATCTTTTTATTCAAATGCCAACCAATCTTGACCACATCCCATATTGAAATAGGATGCTTGGGTTTCTTCCATCCTTGAGGTAGTTTTTCATGCCGATATCTGTTTGTTTGCAAATCATGGAGGTGTTTCAGGTTTCCATATTTTTGTGGATGAAGTGTATGTTACAAGTCACTCACATGTTTTCAAGGGATGTCGAATGTACGTAGTCTTTCTTGTTCCCAAATATAGAAAATATAAGCCCAACTTCGCCAAGAGCTGTCTGAGAATGGAATCATAGAGGCAAGGAATCATAGCCCAGTCGTTAGTTAAAGCTCTTGCGGTTCAATTGCCATCAAAAAATCCACATCATACCAATCGATATTCAAAAAAAAAATTTCAAGTAATATAGGCATACCATGCGAGTTTTTAGGGAGAAGGGCCTATGAGCAAAAGCGGCTAATTCCGCTCTACGAAGAGCATAATCATTCAAGGAGACTGGGTGTGGGCTTTCCCCCGTGTTGAGAAATTGGTCGATCAGTTTTTCATCTGGATTTAGTGAGTCTCCTTCCCTGATTCATCAAGAAAACATGTGTTATTTGGAGTATACCAAGGTCTCTAGAGGTATTAATAGAGTCAGAAAGATCACTGACCCGTAATCATAGCGAGTGATGCTTCCATCATGCTCTATCCGGCCATGAGCACCTAGCTCTGCAATCGAAACTGACAATCCCTTCCCGCAGATAAGAACAGCTAGGATACTCAGAAAGGCGGCATGAAACCAGGAAAGATTGAAACCTTTGACAAGGGCATTGATAAGGTCTCCAACTTTTATCCTATCGTGCTTGTGAGCAGGGGTACTTCAAAAATGAAAAAAAAAAAAATCAAAATCAGTCGTGAGATTTGTCTGCTACATCCTTGTTTTAGCTTGACTAAAAAAACGTACAGGTATCCATGATTCACAAGTATAGAAATTCCCGGGCAAGGGGAGCCAAACCTTTTACGATTATAAGAATGCTCGCTGGTCTCCAATTCATTCAACTGAACATCAGCAGATTGTTTAGGATTGAACGCCATGATCGTGAATAGACGCTGAGACTTCTGATTGCTTGAGAATTAGAAGAGAAGATTTTTTAGTCGAGTTGCGAGAGTTTGTCGCTTTGTCGCACTGAGATTTGGAGTTGGCGGCCAGTAAGAAAAAAGTATTTTTACTTTGGCTTTTCTAGGAAGCTTCAACTTGGGACGATGTCTTGACTTTATAGCTTCCCCTCATTTGCACCAGTTAGTCCTCTGTAAATCTGAGCAGCCGCAAAGACGAGCTGTGCATAGATGCGATATCAAGAACTAGACTCGTCACAATACATCGCCAACACAGTCTTTTGTATTCAAAATGCAGTACTTGCTGTGACTCATGCCACAAAGACGAGCAGAAAGCTTAGCGGAGGTAAAAAGCTGGGCAGGGTAGTGTACTAGGGACACAGAAACGCTATGCAGTTGTCATCAGAAATTAGCCGGACAACATTCGTCTTGGCCGGCTTCGCGGATTCCACGGCTATGAGACGCAATGAATTGCATTTATCGAAGTTTTAATGTTGCGCATGCTGTAGAGAGTATAGCGGGTATCCTTTCAAGTCGACTGATTGTTGCTTCGTCGAGGCGATTCTGGGGGCGAAGTAAAAGCTGAGCTAGTAAGAGAGGAGCAGAGTCTAGCTAGCATGCTGTTCGGAAATGCCATAAGGCCGTTCTGCATTGTCGTCTTATTTATCAACGTAAATCCCGCAAACAACATGGACTTTGAGAGCTTGCACATTTTGCCCATAAAAATATGTAGGCCTATGAATGGCGCAACACTCGAAACTTTCCCGCGTGGATGGTTCGTAGGAATTTGGAAATCAAATCGCCCAGCCTGAGGTACACACAACCCTTGGCCGATGGCAAAGCGTATTTCTCTCCCTCAGCTCAGACCTCAATCCATAAATACATGTATGAAGCACTTTCCTCAAGGTCTACGAATCTACGCCCAACCATCATCTATCTTGGTGTCAAAAACGGGCTCAAAACAAGATATAAATCTACGCGGCGCGAAGTGTCGGATTAAGGCCCGCCGAGACGTGAGGCGGAGCTCTTCACGGATTTACGAACATCCATGCACACTGATTTTGGCGATTTGCGTCCAAATTGTGTTGCTAAATATGTGAGGTTAGTATGTTTGCTTGCCTGCCCTGGTGCATACATATGATAGTCAATGGCGGATATGTTTCGTTAGTCCGTTCCCTATAAGCTCATCAGCTCTCGTCAGACTCTGAGAAGTTACTTTGTAAATTCATGTTATTCATGGGCTTTGTCAAACGTGTCTCGATCCTATTTACATATTGCTCATATGGTATTTGGAAATGCCAAAGAATGACAAAGCCTGAGCTCACCAAAGAGCAGGGGAAACTACCGAAAGTGGAGGCATAGACA